CCTCCCCATCCCTGGTGTCCCCGCTGTCCCCTGCAGTGTCCCAGGGGTGTCCCCAGCTCCCGGGCCCCCAGCTCCCGCAGCCGCCCCCCCTCCAGCAGGGCCACCCTGGGTGCCCGCCGGGCCAGGGCCACCTGCCCTGTCACCAACAGCACCGCCGGCCCCTCCCCCGCCCCGGGACCGCCGAGACGCAGCAGCTCCCGCTCCACCTGCGGGGACACGGGGGGGACACGGGGGGTTCAGGGGACACGGGGGGACACGGGGGAAATGGGGGTCAGGAGGACATGGGGCAGTCAGGGGACACGGGGGGACATAGGGGGACACGGCGGGGTCAGGGGACACGGGGGAGCTCATGGGCAGTGGGGGGACCCCAGGGTCAGGGGAGACATGGTGGTATCAGGGGACCCCCGGGTGGGGCGACACTGTGGGGACACAGGTGGGGATCTGGGGAGTGGGGACCCAGGGGACAGGGGGACACAGAGATCCAGGGGACATGGGAGACCCAGGGGACAGGGGGACACGGAGATCCAGGGGACATGGGAGACCCAGGGGACAGGGGGACATGGGGACCCAGGGACATGGGGACGTGGGGACATGGGGACCAAGGGACACAGGGACACATGGGACACTGGTGTTTGGGACCCAGGGAACGTGGGGACATGGCATCCAAGGGACACGGGACACATAGGACACTGGCGTTTGGGAGCCAGGGGACATGGGGGACATGGAGGGGACTTGGGGACGTGGGGGGCAGGGATGCAGGGGATGTGGTGACCCAGGGGACCCCGGGGGATGTGAGGGGCAGTGACGAAGGGGACACGGGGACCCAGGGGACACGGGGACAGCGCTGTGACCCACCTGGCGCCGGGTCACGGGGTCGAGCGCCCGCGTGGGCTCGTCCAGCACCAGCAGGCGGGGGGTCCTGAGCAGGGCCCGGGCCAGGGCCACCCCCTGCGCCTGCCCCCCCGAGAGCTGCATCCCCCGCGGGCCCACCTCTGGGGACACAGGGGACACACTGGGGACACCGTGGGGACACGCCGGGGACACGCTGGGGACACGCCGGGGAGCCAAACCCACCCTGCACCCACCTTTGGGGACAGGGAGGGGGCAGGGAGGGGACACCGTGGGGACAGTGTGGGGATGATGAGGGGACACTACAGGGATGATGAGGGGACGTTATGGGGACACAGTGGGGACACACTGGGGACACTACGGGGATGGTGAGGGGACACCACAGGGAGAGCAAGGGAACAGGGAGGGGAGGGGACAGAGTGGGATGTGGTGAGGAGGCTTTGGGGACGTCACAGGGACAACCTTGGGGACGGTGAGAGGACATTACGGGGACACCCTGGGGACACCTTGGGGACACCACAGGGACGTGGTGGGGACACAGGGGGACACCCGTGTCTTACCTGTGTCATAGCCATGTGGCAGCCGCGTGGCCCAGGCGTGCACCCCCACCCGCTGCGCCACTGCCGTCACTCGTGTCACCTGTGTCACCTGCGTCCCCTCCCCGTGTCCCCAGCCCAGTGTGATATTGGCACGGAGGGAATGGGACAGGAGGGATAGGGACTGCGGGACACCGGCCACCTGCGGGGACAGGGGACACAAGGGGCTGTGGGGGGGCGTGGGGACAGGGGGAACATCGGGACGGGGGGGACACGGTGGCAGGAACAAGGAGGGAATGTCTGGGGACACGGAGGGGGCCATGGGGACCTGCTGGGGACACAGCGGTGACCCAGGGGTGGCAGCAGAGGACACCAGGGGTGGCCGTGGGGACCCGTGAGGGACAGAGGGTGACGTGGTGGTGACCACGGTGACACAGAGGGAACCACTGGTGACCCTGGGGTGAAACTGGGGACTCGTTGGGAACCCACTGGAGACCTGGGGGTGGCCACAGAGACCCGCTGGTGACCCACTGATGACCTGGGGTGGCCCAGGGGACATGTGGGTGATGCAGGGGTGGCCATGAGAACCTGCTGGGGACCCAGGGGTGACCCAGGATGGCTCAGGGGACATGTGGGTGACGCAGGGGTGGCCATGGGGACCCGCTGGCGACCCACTGATGACCTGGGGTGGCCCAGGGGACATGTGGGTGACGCAGGGGTGGCTGTGGGAACCTGCTGGGGACCCAAGGGTGACCCGAACACAGCACTGGGAGCCTGGGGGGTGACTCAGGGGTGGCCCGGGGTGTCATCTTGTCACTGCAAGGCAGGACCTGCACAGGGGGGCTCAGGGGGTGTTTGGTGACAGGGGTGGCAGTGGGGACCCAGGGGTGGCAGTGGGGACCCAGGGTGACCCGGGGGTGACCGGGGGTGGCAGTGGGGACCCGGGGTGACCTGGGGGTGGCCATAGTGACCCGGGGGTGTCACCTGTCGCCGCAGGGCGGGGTCAGCGCGGGGGCCCAGGGGGGCCCCGTCCAGCAGCACGGCCCCGGCCGCCAGGGGGCGCACTCCCAGCGCGGCCAACGCCAGGGAGCTCTTCCCGCCGCCAGGGGGCGCCAGCACCGCCACGAGCTCCCCGGGACGCACGGACAGAGACACCCCCTGGTGGCGGGAATGGGATGGGATTGGGATCGGGATCGGGAATGGGATCGAACTGGGAATGGGATCAGACCGGGATCGGGATCAGAATCAGACTGGGAATAGGAACAGCATAGATAATGGGAACGGGAATAGGAATGGGAATGGGAATGGGGACAGCAGGAGAGGGGACAGGATCGGACTAGGAACGGGAACAGGAATGGGAACGGGAATGGGAACGGGAATGGGAATGCGATTGGACTGGGAATGGGAATGGGAATGGGAATGGGAATGGGATGGGGATGGGATCAAACCGGGAATGGGAATGGGATCGTACCAAGAATGGGAACAAAATTGGGATTGAAACGGGAATGGGAATGGACTGGGAATGGGTTTGGGATCAAACTGGGAATGGGAATGGCGTGAGAGGGGATGGGATGGAACCGGGAATAAGATTAGGATGGAACCAGGAATGGGAATGGCGGGAGAGGGGACGGGATTGAACTGAGAATGGGAATTGGATCGTACTGGGAATGGGAACGTACTGGGAATGGGATTGGGAATGGCGGAAGAGGGGATGGAACTGGGAATGGGATCGTACTGGGAATGGGAATGGGAATGGGATTGTACCAGGAATGGGAACGGATTGTACTGGGAATGGGATTGGGATCGCACTAGGAATGGGAACATAGGAGAGGGGATGGGATGGAGCCAGGAACGGGATTGGGATGGAACCAGGAATGGAATGGCGGGAACAGCAGAAGAGGGGATGGGGATGATACTGGGAATGGGATGGGGATGGCACCAGGAATGGGATTGGGATCATACTGGGAATGGGAACGGCGGGAGAGGGGATGGGGATCGCACCAGGAATGGGAACAGCAGGAACAGGGATTGCACCAGAAATGGGGATCACACCAGGATCAACAGGAGAGGGACGGCCATGGGAACAATGGGAGATCGCAGTGGGAATGGTAACCTCCCTGGGAATAATGGGGATCACACTGGGAATAACGGGGACCACACTGGGAACAAAGGGGATCACACTGGGAACAAAGGGGATCACACCAGGACAGGGATTGCACCAGGAGAGGGGATCCCACTTGGAATGGGGAGAGCACCAGGATAGGGGATGGCACCAGCACTTCCATGTGAACCCCATCCCTGTGTCCCCAGGCTGTCCCCTCACATCCCCCTATCCCCACTGTGTCCCCCCATATCCCTACCCTGTCCCCATGTGCCCCCACACCCCCCATGTCCCATCCACGTCCCCCTATGTCCCTCACCTCCCCTCCATGTCCTGTGTCCCTCATCTCCCCCATTTCCTTAACACCTCCACATCCTCTCGTGCCCCCCATGTCCCCCATCTCCCCCACCTCCCCTCCATGTCCCATGTCCCCCATCTCCCTCCACATCCCCTTGTATCTCCCCCACATCCCCATGTCCCATCCATGTCCCCCCATGTCCCCATGTCCCATCCCTGTCCCCATGTCCCCTCATGGACCCCCCATGTCCCATCCATGTCCCCCCACGTCCCATCCATGTCCCCCATGTCCCCACATCCCTCGTGTCCCCCATGTCCCCCACGCCCCCCTGTGTCACCTTGAGGACGGGCTCTGCCCGCCCAGGGTAGGTCATGGAGACGTTCTCCAGACGCAGTCCCGGCGTCCCAGAGCCCTTCTGGCCCCCGGGGGTGACAGGGGACGGTGTCCCCAGCGCTGCCACCTCCTTGGCCTCGTCCAGCAGCTCCAGGAGCATCTCAGAGGAGCCAACGGCCTTGGCCAGAACCGGGAGGTGCAACAGCAGCAACTGGGGACATGGGGACATCGGGGGGCTTGGAGGGACATGGGGGGAAACGGGGACTTCGGGGGGCTTGGAGGAGCTGGGGGAACATGGGCGTGGGGACAAGGATGGGGACACAGGGACACGGCACAGACTGGGGACACGGGGACATCAGGGGGGCTTTGAGGGACATGGTTGTGGGGACAGGGATGGGGACACAGTCAGGCAGGGACTGGGGACATTGGGGGGGCTTTGGGGAGCTGGGGGGACATGGGCGTGGGGACAGGGATGGGGACACAGGGACACGACAGGGGACAGGGGGACCCAGTGGGGACACGGCAGGTGCACGCTGAGACACAGGGAGGGGACACGGGGAGGACCTTAGGACACGGAGGGGACACAACAGGGTTGGGGTAAGGACAGAGGGGCAGGGATGGGGACATGGCCAGGAGGACACGGGGACACGGCTGGGAGGGTGTGGGGACATGGGGACATGGGAGGGGGACATGGGAGGACAGTGACATGGGGAATAATGGGGTTGGGGACAGGATAGGGACACACTGGGGACATACTGGGGACACAGGGGGGTCAGGTTGGGGACACACTGGGAACGGGTTGGGGACACACTGGGGACATGCTCCTCACCTCCACGGCCCTGGTGAACTGCAGGTGGCACATGAGGATGGTGACCAGCTCCCCGGGGTCATGGTCCCTGAAGCCACCAAGTGTCCCCCTCCGAGGAGCAGCCCCAGCTTCAGGACCAGCATGGGGAACTGGGGACATGGGGACACACAGGGTCACAGGGTGTCACCCCAGCCCCGTGTCCCTGTGTCCCCCAGTCCCATGCCACCCCGTCCCCGTGTCCCCAGCCCCTGTCACCACATCTCCCATCCCTGGACCACCCACCTCTGTGTCCCCATGTCCCCTGTCTCCATAACCTCCTGTCCCCATGTCCCCATGCCCCCTGTCTACCTCAATCTCATGTCCCCATGTCCCCCATGTCCCCCCACATCCCTCTATCCCCACTGTGTCCCCTCATGTCCCTACCCTGTCCCCATGTCCCCCCACACCCCATGTCCCATCTGTGTCCCCCATGTCCCCATGTCACCTCCCACACCCATGTCCCATCCATGTCCCCCCATGTCCCTCACCTCCCCTCCATGTCCCATGTCCCCCATCTCCCCCATCTTCCTCCACATCCCCTCATGTCCCTCCCATGTCCCCATGTCCCATCCGTGTCCCCTCATGTCCCATCCATGTCCCCCCACATCCCCCCTATCCCCACTGTGTCCCCTCATGTCCCTACCCTGTCCCCATGTCCCCCCACACCCCATGTCCCATCTGTGTCCCCTCATGTCCCATCCATGTCCCCCCATGTCCCCACGTCCCATCTCCCCATGTCCCCACGTCCCATCCATGGTCCCCCATGTCCCCATGTCCCATCCATGTCCCCCCATGTCCCCACGTCCCATCCATGCTCCCCCATGTCCCCATGTCCCATCCATGTCCCCCCATGTCCCCATATCCCATCCCTGTCCCCATGTCCCCTCATGTCCCCCCCATGTCCCATCCATGTCCCCCCATGTCCTATCCATGTCCCCACATCCCCTCGTGTCCCCCCATGTCCCCCGTTCCCACCCCCCCGTGTCACCTTGAGGACGGGCTCTGCCCGCCCAGGGTAGGTCACGGAGACATTCTCCAGACGCAGTCCCGGCATCCCGGAGCTCCCCCGGCCCCCAGGGGTGACAGGGGACGGTGTCCCCAGCACTGCCACCTCCTTGGCCTCGTCCAGCAGCTCCAGGAGTGTCTCAGAGGAGCTGACAGCCTTGGCCAGGTCTGGGAGGTGCAACAGCAGGGACTGGGAACACAGGGACATTGGGGGACTTGGAGGAGCTGGGGGAACTTGGGCGTGGGGACAGGGATGGGGACACAGCCAGGCAGGGACTGGGGACATGGGGACATCAAGAGGGTTTTGAGGGACATGGGCATTGGGACAGGGGTGGAGACACAGGGACACAGCACAGACTGGGGACACGGGGACATCAAGAGGGCTTTGAGGGACATGGGGGTGGGGACAGGGGTGGGGACACAGTCAGGCAGGGACTGGGGACATGGGGACATTGGGGGGGCTTTGAGGAGCTGGGGGGACATGGGTGTGGGGACAGGGATGGGGACACAGGGACATGGTAGGGGACAGGGGGACCCGGTGGGGACACGGTAGCTGCACGCTGAGACACAATGAGGGGACACGGGGAGGACCTGAGGGCACAGAGGGGACACAACAGGGTTGGGGTGGGGACAGAGAGGACAGGGATGGGGACATGGCCAGGAGGACACGGGGACACGGCTGGGAGAGTGTGGGGACACGGGGACATGGGAGGGGGACATGGGAGGACAGTGACATGGGGAATAATGGGGTTGGGGACAGGATAGGGACACACTGGGGACATACTGGGGACACGGGGGTCAGGTTGGGGACACACTGGGAACGGGTTGGGGACACACTGGGAAGAGGTTGGGGACACAGTGGGGACACGCTCCTCACCTCCACGGCCCTGGTGAACTGCAGGTGGCACATGAGGATGGTGACCAGCTCCCCAGGGGTCATGGTCCCTGAAGCCACCAAGTGTCCCCCCCCGAGGAGCAGCCCCAGCTTCAGGACCAGTGTGGGGAACTGGGGACATGGGGACACACAGGGTCACAGGGTATCATCCCAGCCCTGTGTCCCTGTGTCCCCCAGTCCCATGCCACCCCGTCCCTGTGTCCCCAGCCCCTGTCACCACATCTCCCATCCCTGTGCCACCCATCCCTGAGACCCCAGCCCCTGTCACCATGTCCCTGTGTTCCCAGCCCTCTGTCACCACATCTCCCATCCCTGGGCCACCCACCCTTGTGTCCCCATGTCCCCTGTCTCCATAACCTCCTGTCCCTATGTCCCCCACCCCCCTGCTACTTCAGTCTCATGTCCCCTGTCCCCCATGTCCCTCAGCCTCCTGCCACATGTCCGCCATCCCTGTGCCCCTTTTCCCTGTGTTCCCTGTCCCCATGTCTCCATCCCCATGCCACCGCATCCAGTGTCCCCCAGCTCCCTGCTGCCACGTCCCCATGTCCCCTGTTACAATGCCACCCTGTCCCCGTGAACCCCAGCCCCACGTGCCACCCGTTGTCACGTCCCTTGTCTCCGGATCACCACGCCCTCGTGTCCCCCGGCCCTTTGCCGACACACCCAATGTCCCCACCCCCGTGTCATCCTGCCCCGTGTCCCCACCCTTCTGCCACCCTGTCCTCGCCCCTGTGTCCCTCTCCCCCCACGTCCTCCCCTCCTGTGTCCCCCATCTCCGTGTCCCCATGTCCCCTGCCCCCTGTCCTCACCCTTGTGTCCCCCCACTCCCATGACCACAACCCCGTGTCACCCTGCCCCGTGTCCCCCATCCCTCTGCCACCAAGTCCTCCATTTTCAGACCGCTGGTCCCCATCTCCCTGTACCCCCGTCCCCGTGTCCCCTCCATGTATCCCCATCCCCTGTGCCCCTGTCCCCGTGCCCCCTCTCATGTGTCCCCATCCCCTATGCCTCCCATCACCAGGCCCCCTGCCACCCTGTCCCAAACCCTGTGTCCTCCCACCCATGTCCTCCACTCGTGCGTCCCCCATCCCCATGTACCCCACCGCTCTGCCACCCTGTCCTCACCCCTGAGTCCCCCCTCACCTCCACGTCCCCCATCCCCGTGTTCCCAGCCCTCTGCCACCAAGTCCTCCATTTCCAGACCACTGGTTCCCAACCCCCGTGCCCCTCGTCCCGTGTACCCCCGTGTGTCCCCATCCCCCCGTGCCCCCTGTCCTCGTGTGTCCCCCGTGTCCCTGTACCCCACTGGCCCAGCGTGCCACCCCGTATGCCAGGGCCTCCCCGCCGTGTGTCCCCATCCTCCCTTGCCCCCTGTCCCCATGTGTCCCCCATGTGTCCCCATCTTCCCAAGCCCTGTGGGGGAATCCAGCTGGTTCTGGGCTCTCAGTAAGCTGAGATCCTGAAGATGGAACTTCTTACACCTTGCAGAGGGTTAACCACGGACAGTGGGGACTGTGACACAGTGGGTTTCCTGTTAGAATGTCAACCTATGGTGTTAGGACATGTGGCTGTGTGTCCAACCATGAGTTGTTATGAAGTGCTAAACCAATGCTGTGTGTACATGTGTCACCCCAGAACTGTATAAAGGTAGATGCACTGTTGCAATAAAAAAAGCTGCTGGTATCCTGAAACCCATGTCGCTTCCTGCCTCGACCGCGACAATGCCCCCCGTCCCCATGTGTCCCCCCCATGTGTCCCCATCTCCCCATGTCCCCCCCGTGTGTCCCCATCCCCTGTGTCCCCCTCGTGTCCCCATACCCCGCTGGCCCAGCGTGCCACCCCGTATGCCAAGGCCTCTCTGCTCTCCAGGTGGTGGCCGTGGCTCAGGCGCTGCCGGACACGGGTGGTCATTCCGGCCTTGTGGCCGAAGGCCCGGACAGTCCCCAGGGCCCACCAGCGACTCCAGGGCCACTGCGGTGGCACCGGCCAGAGCCTCCTGCGCCCCCCGCGCCAGCTCCTGGGGACACGGGGTCACCACAGGGGTCACCACGGGGAGTTACCACAGGGGGACAGTGGGGTCACCACACGTGGTCACCACATGGGGGACACAGCGTCACCACGGGAGGTCATGACAGAGGGGACAGGGGCTACCCTAGGGACATGGAGTCACCACAGGAGGTCACCACTCGGGGTCACCACACAGGGGACAGGGGGTACCCTGGGGACACTGGGGTCACCACAAGGATGGAGGGCATGGAGGGTGGACAGGGTGGGGACAGGGAGGGGACAGAGTGGACACCACACAGGGGTCACCACGGGTGTCACCACAGGGGTGACAGCGGGTACCCTGGGGACACGGGGGACAGGGGGGTCACCACAGGGATGGAGGGCACGGAGGGTCTGTACAGGGAGGGGACAGAGTGGTCACCACAGGGCTGGAGGGTACAGAGGGTGGGGATAGGGTGGGGACAGGGAGGGGACAGAGGGAACACCACAAGGTCATGGGGGGGGTCACAGAGAGCACACGGGGGTTACACGGGAGTCACTGCAGGGTCACCACGTGGGATCATTGAGGGGGTCACCCTGGGGACAGGGAGGTCACCTCGAGGTCACCACACGTGCAGATGGGAGGCAGGGAGGGCACAGGGGACAGGAGAGGGTGACAGTGGGCACGGGGAGGTGACAGCAAGAACCAGAAGGGGACAGGAGGGACTCGGACAGGACCTGGGGTGGGGACAAGCGGCTTTGGGAGGTGACAATGGGGCACACAGTGCAGGGAGGTGACCAGGGGTGCAGGGGAGGGGACAAGGGGCCCAGGGAGGTGACATGGGCTGCAGGGAGGGGACAAGGGGCCCAGGGAGGTGATATGGGCTGCAGGGAGGGGACAAGAAGAGTGACCGGGGAGGGGGGGTGGCAGGGACAAAGGTACAGGTTACAGAGGGAAGTGACAAAAAGGCTCGGGGGAAGCACTGAGGGGAAGCCTGGCAAGGACAGGGGGTGCAGGAAGGTGGCACTGAGCACACAGGGGTGACAAGAGGACCCCCCCCGGTACCTGCTGGGTGGCGGCCACGCGGCGCGGCAGCAGCAGGAGCAGGGGCAGCAGCAGGAGGGTGCCCAGGGCCAGCAGCGGGGCCAGCGAGCCCATCACGGCCAGCAGAGCCCCTGCCCGGGCCAGCGCCCACAGCGCCGGCACCAGCTCGTCGGCCAGAGCCCCATGGGCCGCCGCCGCATCCCCTCGTCACCCGCGCGGCCACCGCGGCCGGAGTGTCCCCCAGGACGCCCCCCGAGCCGGCTGCATCCCCCCGCAGCACCGCGGCCACCGCGCCGCGCTGGAGCCGCCCCCGAGCCCGGGTCAGCGCCGTGGCCGCCGCTCCGTCACAGCCCAGCTCGGCCAGGGCGCTGCGGGGACAGCGCGGGGTCAGGGGGCACCGCCACCTCCAGGGGATGTCCCCTCCCTGGTCCTATTGTCACCCACCTGCCGAGCCCCAGCGCCACCAAGGGCCACACGGCCGCCCACGCGTCCTCCTCCCGCATCACCCGGTCAGCGATGTGGCCCGTGAAGTAGGGGCCGGCCACCTCACCTGCGGGGAGGGGACACCCCCAGGCTGGGTGGGGACACCCCCAGGCTGGGTGGGGACAGCCCCCTGGCGTGGAGCCGTGCCCCACTTTTTAGGTACCGACCACGCTCAAAACGGGGGTTCAGCCCCGAAATTGGGTGCTGACCCCCCCTGTTGTGGACTAAGATCCCAAACATGGGGGTTGTCCCCTGAAAATTGGGTCCTGACTCCCTTCATTGCAGCCTAAGATCCCAAACTTGGGGGTTGAACTCTGAAATTGGGGTCTGGAAAACCCAGAGTTGGGTGTTGACCCCCGGAAACTGGGTGTTGACCCCTGGAAATTGGGTGTTGACCCCTGAAAATTGGGTCCTGATCCCCCTCTGTTGTGGGCTAAGATCCCAATCCTGGGGGTTGAACTCCCAAAATTGGGGTCTGGAAAACCCAAATTTGGGTGCTGACCCCTGAAAATTGGGTCCTGATCCCCCATATTGGGTAATGACCCGCAAATTGGGTCCTGCACACCTAAAATTGTCTGTAGACCCCTGAAAATTGGGTGTTGAGCCACTAAATTGGGTCTGACTCCTGAAAATTGGGTCTGACTCTCTAAAATTGGGTGTCACCCCCCCCAGACTGGGTCCTGACCCTTGAAAATTTGTCTCCAAAATGGGTCCTGACCAGCCAAAAATGTGTTCTGACCCCCCCCAAATTGGTTTCTGGTCCCTCAAAATTGGGCCCTGCCTCCCCAAATCAGGCCCTATCACCCCCACAAATTGAGTCCTGACCCCCTCAAACTGAGTCTCGACCCCCTGGTTGGGTCCTGCCCCCTCAATCTGGGTCCTGCTCCCCCCAATCTGCTCCGGTTCTCCCCCGGTCAGGTTCTGTTCCCACACAAATTGGCTCCTGCCCCCCAAATCAGGTCCTGCCCTTCCTAAATCGGGTCCTGGCCCTCCCCAGTCGTGTCCTTCCCTCCCCCAATCGGGCCCTGCCCCCCCAAATTGGGTCTTTCCCCTCCCAGTGGGGTCCTGCCCCCTCCCCGCAGTGGGGTCCTGTCCCACCTAAATTGGATCCTGCCCCCTCCCCAATCGGGCCCTGCCCCCCAGATCGGGTCTTTTACACCCCCACTGGGGGGTCCTGCCCCCCCCTCAAGTGGGGTCCTGCCCCCCCAGTCGGGCCCTGCCCTCCTCAAATTGAGCCCTGACCCCCAAATCGAGTCCTGCCAACCCCCCGAGCCGGGGTCCCCCCATACCGAGGGCCGCGGCCGCCATCAGCACCCCCACGAGCGCCCACCGCCCGCACTCGGGGAGCAGCAGGGCCAGGAGCCGCCGGCTGGCGGGGGGCAACATCACGGGGGGGGGCCCGGTCCGGTCCCGGGGGTCCTGGTTCTGCTTTCGGTGGGTCCCGGTGAGTCCCGGTCGGTCCTGGTTCTGCTTTCAGTGGATTTCCGTGGGTCCTGGTGGGTCCCGGGGGGTCCTGGTTCTGCTTTCGGTGAGTCCCGGTGGGTCCCGGTCAGTCCCGGTTCTGCTTTCAGTGAGTTTCCGTGGTCCTGGTTCTGCTTTCGGTGGGTTTCCGTGGGTCCTGGTAGGTCCCGGTCCCCTCCCGGTGGCTCCCGGTGGGCCCCGATTCAGCTCCCGGTGGGTCCCTGGGGATCCCGGTCCCGCTCCCGGCAGGTCCCGGTCCCGGTTGCGGTGTATCCCGATGAGTGCCGGTGTATCCTGATGAGTGCCGGTGTATCCCGATGTACTCGGTGTATCCCGCTGTATCCCGGTGAATCCCGGTGGATCGTGGTATATCCCGGTGTACCCCGGTGTATCTCGGTGTTTCCCGGTGTATCCCGCTGTATCCCCGTGTATCCCGCCGGTTCCTCCCGCTCCTTTCCCGGCAGCCACCGCCCCCGGAATCCCCGGGAATCCCAGCCCGCCACTGCGGCGCTGACTGGTCAATGTTTTATGACGTCATCGGTTACCGGGCAGAGGAAGCCGGAGCAGGTTATGAAAAGGAGGGGCGAGGCCAAAAAGGGGGCGGGGTCTGGGCGGGTCAGGGGCGGGGCCAGGGCGGGAGTGGGCGTGGCCTGGGGAGAACGGAGCGTTCTGGGAGCCTGAACTGGGAGCACTGGTGGGGACTGCGGAGCTGGTACAGCTGGACTGGGAGCACTGGTGTGGACGGGAAAGCACCCCAGTCTGTACTGGGAGCACTGGTGTGGACTGGTGAGCTGAGGGAGCTGTACTGGGAGCACTGGTGTGGACTGGGGAGCTGGCATAGCTGTACTGGGAGCACTGGTGTGGACTGGGGAGCTCAAGCTGTACTGGGAGCACTGGTGTGGACTGGAGAGTGCCCTGGTCTGAACTGGGAGCACTGGTGTGGACTGGGGAGCTGAGGGAGTTGGTCTGGGAGCAGTGGTGCAGACTGGTGAGCTCAGGGGGCTGGACTGGGAGCACTGGTGTGGACTGGTGAGCTCAGGGGGCTGGACTGGGAGAACTGGTGTGGACTGGGGAGCTGAGGGAGTTGGTCTGGGAGCACTGGTATGGACTGGGGAGCACCCAAACCCTAACTGGTGTTAACTGGTGAGTTCACAGGGTGCTGAACCCCAGCACAGGAGCCGCACTGGGACCCCCACTGGGAGCCATACTGGGAGCCATACTGGAAACCATACTGGGAGCCATACTGGGTGGACTGGGAGCCGTACTGGGACCGTACTGGGAGCACTGGGAGCTGTACTGGGAGCCTGACTGGGAGCTGTACTGGGAGCACTGGAGTGGACTGGGAGCTGACCAGGAGCTGTACTGGGAGCACCGGAGCTGACTGGGAGCCCAGCTGTACTGGGAACCGTACTGGGAGCCACACCAGGAGCCATACTGGGAGCTGTACTGGGAGCCCTACTGGGGCTGTACTGGGAACCCCACTGGGATCCCCACCAGGAGCCGTACTGGGAACCGTACTGGGAGCTGTACTGGGAGCTGTACTGGGAGCCTGACCAGGAGCTGTACTGGGACCCCCACTGGGAGCTGTACTGGGAACCATACTGGGAGCCGTACTGGGAGCTGTACTGGGAGCTGTACTGGGAGTTGTACTGGGAACCCCACTGGGAGCCGTACTGGAAGCTGTACTGGGAGCTGTACTGGGAGCTGTACCAGGAGCCATACCAGGAGCCGTACTGGGAGCTGTACTGGGAGCCTGACCAGGAGCTGTACTGGGAGCCATACTGGGAGCTGTAGTGGGAGCCTGACCAGGAGCTGTACCGGGAGCCCGACCAGGAGCTGTACTGAAAGCCATACTGGGACTCATACTGGGAGCACTGGTCCTCACCAATCCCCCCATGGCACTGCCTCCATCCCTGCTGCTCCCAGGGGTGCTGCTGGCGGCCGACGCCCTGGCCCTGTCCTTACTGGGCCCACTGGTGCCGGCGCTGGCACAGCTGGGCCCGGCGGGCGTGTGGCTCGAGGCCGCCCTGCGCCTGCCCCTCCTGGCCGCAGCCCCCCGGCTCCTGTCCCCTCTCTGTTTCCCCGGGGCCACCACCACGGCCGCCGTGGCCACCATCGCCATCACCCCTGCAGCCTTCGTGGCCCTGCGGAGCCTCCTGGGCCTGCCCGGCACTGGGCCCAGCCTCTTGGCGGCCGCCGCGCCCGCCTGGCTTGGGGTCACCCACGCGGCTGCCACACTGGCCCTGCTGGCCTGGGATGCCCCCCGCTCCCTGGGTGGTGTCCCCAAAGCTCCCGGGGGTGTCCCCAAGGTTCCCGGAGGCGTCTGGAGGGTCCTGGTGCTGGCCTGCTCCGAGTGGAAAGTCCTGGGAGCTGCCTTCCTGTGCCTCGTGGTGGCAGCTGCCGGTGGGTGACGGCGCAGGGAGGGCGGTGGACCCCCCGTTAACCGAGTCTTGCAGCCCCAGAGTGGGTGCACAGCCCCTAAATTTGGTGTTGAACCCACCCAGGTTTGGGGCTGACCCTCCCCCACTGGAATTGGGGTGGTGAGCAGCCTGGAATTCTGGGAGCTGCTTACCCCCCAAAAAAAAAATTGGATCCCCAACCTCCACACTTGGGTGTTGATTGCCCCTAAATTGGGTGCTGAGTCCTAAAAGCGGGTACTGACCATCCCAAAATTGGCTGCTGAGCCCCCGTTACGTTGGGAACCAATCACCTGAAAATTGGATGGTGACCCACCTGCCCCGTCCCCCCATAACTGGGTGCTGACACTACCCAAAAATTGTGTCCTGACCCATCAAACTCGGGTGTTAACCCCCCAAAAAATTGGGGGTCTGATGCCCAAAAATGGGCATTGACTCCCAAGAAATTGGCTCCTGATCCCCATATTTGGGTCCTGATCCCCCATATTTGGATCCTGACTCCCCATATTTGGGTTCCAACCCCTAAAATTTGAGTGCTAAACCCCCAAAATTGGGTGCTGACCCCCCCATATTTGGGTCTTGACCCCTCATATTTGCATCCTGACCCCGCATATTTGGGTCCTGACCTCCCATATTTGGGTCCCGACCCCCCCTTATTTTGGTCCCGACCCCTAAATTTTGGGTGCTGACCCCCCATATTTGGGTCCTGACCCCTAAAATTTGGGTGCTGAACCCCCAAAATTGGGTGCTGAGCCCCCCTATTTGGGTCCCAACCCCCAAATTTGGGTGCTGAGCCCCCTGAATTCGGTCTCAAACCCCTGCCATCGGGTCCCCCCGTGGTGACGCGGTGCCGGTGTCGCCCAGGGGAGACGGCGGGGCCGTACGTCACCGGGAAGGTTCTGGACGCCGTCCGGAGCGGGGATGGACTCACCACCGGAGCTGTGGGGATGGTGGTGGCCACCGAAGCAGCCAGGTGGGTCGCAGCGTTCACGGTGTCCCTGTGTCCACAGCGTTCCCCAATGTCCCTGATGTCCCCGTGTCCCCACAGCGTCCTGTTCTCCGGGTGCCGTGGGTGGCTCTTCCTGCTGGCGGCGGCGCGTCTCCGGCAGAGCCTGCGCCTCCGGCTCTTCTCCCACCTGCTGCACCAGGACCTGGATTTCTTCCAGGGAATGCCAACAGGTAACAGGGCGCAGCCCAGGCCGGTGCCATCCCACCATCCCATCCTGTCACTCCAGTCCCCATCCCACCGTTCCATCCTTTCCCTGTCATCCTGTTACCCAAGTCCCCATCCCATCCCACCATCCCATCCCACCATCCTATCCCATCACTCCAGTCCCTATCCCGCCATTCCATGCTTTCCCTGCCATCCTGTTATTCGAGTCTCCATCCCATCCTACCCCACCCATCCATCTTTCCCATCCAATTATTTCACTCCCCATCCCGCCATTCCATCCTTTCCTCGTCATCGTGTTACCTGAGTCCCCATCCCATCCCACCATCCCATTCCGTTGCTCCAGTCCCCATCCCGCCATTCCATGCTTTCCTCCTCATCCTGTTACCCTAATCCCCATCCCATCCTACCCCCATCCTCCATTATCCCATCCCACCATCCCATTTCCATCATTCCCATCCCAGTATCCCATCCCTTTCCATCCTATCCCATTTCCCCAGTCCTGTTCTACCATCCCATCCTGATACCACTATCCCATCCCACTGTCCTGTCCTTATTCTTACTCCCATCCCACCATCCCATCCCCATCAATCCATTCCAACTACTCCCGTTCCCGCCATCCCCTTTCCCATCCCGTCCCACCCATCACCCCATCCTGCCATCCCGTTCCATCTCCTGACCTTCATCCTATACCCCCATTCCCACCATCCCAATCCCACCTGTCCCATCTTTCCCCACCATTCCCATCCTTGTGTCCATGATCCCAACCTCCCTTCCCACCCTGCAGCCGAGCTGTCAACACGGTTCTCCGCGGAGGTGCCGCTGGTGTCCATGGCGGTGCCGAGGGGGACCAACCTGCTGCTTCGGAGCCTGGGAATGGCACTGGTGGTGGGCACGGCCATGATCCGGCTGGTGCCGGGGCTGGCGCTGCTGGCGCTGCTGGAGCTGCCCCTTGGGATCACCGCCCAGCGCATCCACAGTGCCCGGAGACGGGTCTGGAACACGGGACAGGATGGGCGGGAAGGGAGTAACGGGGTGGGAATGGCAGGGTGGGGTGGAGAGCAGGGAACGGGATGGTGGGGATGGGAATGGTGGGATGGGGTGAGATGGGATGGGATGAATGGGATGGTGGGGATGGGATGGGATGGGATGGGATGGGATGGGATGGGATGGGATGGGATGGGATGGAGATGGGATGGGATGGGATGGGATGGGATGGGATGGGATGGGATGGGAGGACGGTGGGATGGGGTGAGGTGGGGTGGGATGGAGAGCAAGGAACAGGATGGTAGGGATGGGAATTGTGGGATGGGGTGAGATGGGATGGGATGAACGGGATGGTGGGGATGGGAACAGTGGGATGGGGTGAGGTGGGATGGGATGGAAATGGGGTGTATGGGATGGGGATGATGGGAATGCTGGGGACAGGGCAGGATGGAATGATGGGGATGGGATGGGATGGGATGGGATGGGATGGGATGGGATGGGATGGGATGGGATGGGATGGGATGGGACGGGACGGGATGGGATGGGATGGGATGGGATGGGATGGGACGGGATGGGATGGGATGGGATGGGATGGCTGGATGGGGATCAGAGAGATGGGAGTGGGGAAGGTGACCAGAGGAATGGGATGTTGGGAATGTGAATGGTGGGGATGGGACAGTGGGAATGGGGACTGTGGGAGGGGGACTGGGAGATGGGATGGGATGGGATGGGATTGGTGGGGATGGGATGTGGATGGTGGGCCAGGAGGGTAGTCTGGGAAAGCTGGGAATCCCTTCGTGGCTCCATAGGCTCTGCAGCGCTCCATGCTGGAAGCATCTGCCCGGACGGCCTCGGGGGTGCAGGAATCCATCGCCGCCATGGAGACGATCCGGATCTTCTCGGCAGAGGAGGAGGAGGAGGAGCGGCACGGCTGGAACCTGGACGAGGAGCTGAGGCTGAAGGAGCGGATGGAGCTGGAGCTGGCGGGATTCACCCTCATCCAGAGGGTCAGGGGAAAACGGGAGTGGCAACACCGGGAATGGGGACACCGCTGGAATGGGGGCGCTGGGAGCAGGGTGGGGACACTGGGATGGGGACATCGGGATCAGGGATGGGGACACCGGGAATGGGAGTGGGAAGACCAGAACAGGTACACTGGGATCAGGGATGGGGATACCAGGAATGGGAGTGGGAAGATCAGAACAGGCACACTGGGATCAGAGATGGGGACACTGGGAATGGGAATGCCAACACCAGCAGCAGGATGGGGACTCTGGGACAAGGGATGGGAACACCAGAATCAGGAATGGGGACACCAGGAAAGGAAGGGGGGGGAGTGGGGACAGGGATTGGGATACCAAGAGCCTATTGTCGTGGAGACAATAGGAATGGGGACACCAGGACCGGGCTGGAGACACTGGGCCTGGGATGGGGACACCGGGACTGGGATGGGGACACCAGGAGTGGGAATAGGGACACTGGGACTGGGATGGGGACACCAGGAGCAGGAATGGGGACACCAGGAGCGGGAATGGGGACACCAGGAAAGGAAGTGGGGGGAGTGGGGGCAGGGATGGGGATACCAAGAGGAGTTATGGAGACAATGGGAATGGGGACACCGAGACTGGGATGGGGACACCAGGAGCGGGAATGGGGCCACCGGGACTGGGCTGGGGACACTGGGACTGGGATGGGGACACCAGGACTGGGATGGGGACACCAGTATCTGTGTTCCCACCTGTAGATGCTCAAGCTGGCCATCCGGGTCCTGGTGCTCTTCCAGAGCCACCAGCAGCTCCGAGATGGATCCATCACTCCCGGGGTGCTCGTCACCTTCCTGCTGTACCGGGACACGGTCGGCAGCCACGTCAAGGTGATCCAGCAGGATCCATGTGTCCCAACGTCCATCCGTGCCCTGTTCCCAATCCCTGCCAGTGCCACCCCCTGCCCTCCCCTCCCCCCAGGTGCTGCTCTCTGGCTTCAACGAGTTCACCACCAACGTGGCTGCCGGGCAGAAAATCTGGGAATACCTGGATCGGAAACCCTCCAGGCACATCGGGTGGGACGCTGGAGCCCCCCCAGCTCCGGGGCCACGTCGCCTTCCAGAGGGTCTCCTTCACCTATCCCGAAATCCCGAGCGCCCCGTGCTGAGGGTGGGTCTGGGGTGGGGAGGGTGGGGATTCCCAGGGTGGGAATTGCGGTGTCAGCCATCTCCATCCCACAGGATGTGTCCTTGGAGGCGTATCCTGGGGAGGGTGGGGATTCCCAGGGGTGGGAATTGTGGTGTCAGCTGTCCCCTATCCCGCAGGATGTGTCCTTGGTGGCCTATCTTGGGGGGCAGTGGGCATTCCCAGGGGTGGGAATTGCAGTGTCAGCCATTCCTGATCCCACAGGACGTGTCCCTGGAGCTGCATCCTGGGGAGGTGACGGTGCTGGCGGGGCCCAACGGGAGCGGGAAGAGCACGACCGTGGCGCTGCTGGAGCGGCTGCGGGATCCCGGGAGCGGGGAGGTGCTGCTGGACGGGATCCCCTTGCGGGAATACGAGCACCAGTACCTGCACCGGCAGGTGGGGGCGGCAGGGATGGGATGGGAACGCAGGGAATAGGATGGGATGGGATGGAATGGGATGGGGTGGGATGGGATGGAGATGGTGGGGATGGGATGGGAATGCAGGGAATAGGGTGGGATGGAATGGGATGGGGTGGGATGGGATGGGATGGAGATGGCGGGGATGGGCATGGGGGGTGAAGTGGAATTGGGAACTAGGAGACAGGAATGGGGACACTGGGAAAAGGGATGGGGACACCAGGGATGGGGTGGGGATACTCAGGTGGGATGGGGACACTGAGGTGGGACATGGGGACACTGAAGGATGGAATGGGGACACTGAGGTGGGATGGGGACACCAGGGATGGGGACAGGGACAGGGTAGGGACAGAGGAACAAGGATGGGGACACCAGGGACAGGGTGGGGATACTCAGGTGGGATGGGGACACTGAGGTGGGATAGGGACAGTGGGTACAGGGATGGGGAGAGTAGGAACAAGGATGGGGACACCAGGGACAGGGTGGGGACACTGGGGTGGGATGGGGAACGCTGGGTACAGAGACAATAGGAACAAGGATGGGGGTACCAGGCGTAGGAATGGGGACACTGGGAAATAGGATTGGGAACATCAAGGGATGGGGTTAGGGACAGTGGGATTAGGGATGGAGGCACAGTGGGCACAGCGATGGGGACACCCCGCAAGACTGGGGTCGGACCATGGAACAGGGGTGGGGACACCAAGGAGCTGGGACAGCTCACGGGCTTGGGGCCGGGGCAGGTGGTGCTGGTGGAGCAGGATCCCGTCCTGTTTTCTGGAACAATCCGTGAAAACGTCGTGCTGGGGCTGGAGGGCTGCGAAGAGTCGGAGCTGCGGGAAGCGGCCGCTGCTGCTGGAGCCTTGGAGTTCATCCAGGGGCTGAAGCAGGGCTGGGACACTGGTGAGAACTGGGGGGGGAATCCCGGGGGAATCCTGGGGACAGGGGCTGGAGCAGAGCTGGGACACCGGGGGAGAATCCTGGGGGAATCCTGGGGCCAGGGGCTGCATCCCAGGGTTAGAGTGGGACTGGGACACTGGGGGAGGATCCCGGGGGAATCCTGGGGCCAGGGGCTGCATCCCAGGGTTAGAGTGGGACTGGGACATCAGGGAAGGATCCCGGGGGAATCCTGGGGCCAGGGGCTGCATCCAGGGGCTGGAGTGGGACTGGGACACCAGGGAAGGATCCCAGGGAAATCCTGGGGCCAGGGGCTGCATCCAGGGGCTGGAGTGGGACTGGGACACCAGTGGGATCTGGGGGCACGAGGGGCACCCCTGGAATGGATCCTGCAGATTTTGGGATCCTTTGGCAGAAGTGGGGGAGCCGATAGGGGAGACAGGACTGGCAGTGGGATGTGGGGTGGGGACACCCCAGGTCCGGATCCTCCTGATCCCATGGGATCCCCCGCAAAGTTGGGGGAGGGGAGAGGGTTGGAAAGGGGGTGACTGGCAATGGGATGTGGAGGATGGAACCCCGGGTCTGGATCCCCCTGATCCCATGGGATCCCCGCAGAGGTGGGGGAGCGTGGGGGAGCAGCTAGCAGTGGGATTTGGGTGGGGTGGATCCCCGGGTCTGGATCCCCCTGATCCCATGGGATCCCTGCAGAGGTGGGGGAGCGCGGGGGGCAGCTGGCGGCGGGCGAGAGGCGTCGCCTGGCCCTGGCCCGGGCCCTGCTCCGTCGTCCCACCGTTCTCATCCTTGACGAGGCGCTGGATGAGGGAGATGAGGGGGCGGTGAGTGGGGTGGGGACATGGGGGCAGTGGGATGGGGGTGGGAACGATGGGATGGTGGCAAAGGGATGGGGTGGGGTGCGGAAGGTCAACCAGGTAGGGAAAAGGAGTTGGGGGTGGGGGGGAAGGGTGTGGGGAAATGGGACGAGATGGTGGGATGGGAATGGGGAGGATGGGGTGGAAAGCAGGGGGGTGTGGGATGGTGGGAAGTTGAGATGAATGGATGGAAAAGAAGGGATGGGATGGGGTGGGGTGGGAATGGTGGGGTTGAGAATGTTGGGATGAGGAGAGAGTGATGAAAGGGAGGGGTTGGGGTGGTGGGAATGGGGTGGAATGGGACAGTGGGGATGGGAACAGTGGGGATAGGACAGGATAGTGGAGGTGGGGATGGGATGGAGAACAGGGTGGTGATGGGGTGGGGTGGGGTGGGATGGGGTGGTTGGGATGCAATGGGATGGGATGGGATGGGATGGGATGGGATGGGATGGGATGGGATGGGACAGGGTGGGACAGGGCTGGCTGGGCTGGGATCAGCTCTCCCCGGTGCAGGCGCAGCGCTGGGTGTGGGTGCGGGATGGGATGGGGTGGGACAGGGATGGGAGGTCGGTCCCCATTCCAGGCACAGCGCTGGGGTGGGATGGGGTGTGACAGGGATGGAATGGAATGTGATGGGGTGGGACAGGGATGGGATGGGATGGGATCCAGTCTCCCTGCTCCAGGCACAGCGCTGGGTGCGTGCCGGGCTGGCGCGGACGGTGCTGGTGGTGTCGCACCGGCGGCGGGTGCTGGACGGGGCCGATCGGCTGGTGCTGCTGGAGGGCGGGACCGTGGCCGAGCAGGGAACGCCGGCGGAGCTGCGGGAGCGCCGTGGCGCCTACAACCGCCTGCTCCAGGGGGGAGGGGACAGGGAATAAAGGGCCGTTGGTGTCCCCATTCCCGGTGTTGGTGTCCCATCCTCCTGTCCTGTGGGTCCCTCACCCCCCTCCACCCATCCCCTGGATCCTCCCTCCCCGTGTCCCTTGGATTCTCCCCCCAATTCCACCAGGGATGGGAAGCAGGGATGGGTGAATGAAGGGCTCGATTTCCAGCTGGGCTTAAAACCCCAGCGGTGGGGACGTGAGGGACAAAGTGGCAGGCAGGGACATGAAGGACACGTGGTGGGCAGGGACATGAGGGACACATGGTGGGCAGGGACATGGGGGCCAAAGTAAACCTTGTACATTTAATAACTTGTAAATAAAGTAAAATGCAATAATAATGGCAAATGATGATGATAGTAATGATGATAAAAAGAGGTGCAACTGCTCACCACCTGCAGGCTGATGGCAAACCCCTCTGCCCACACCCACAGAGGCCCCTTCCACACAGCTGCCCCCAGTTTAATCTTCCAGGAGATGGGATCTCCGATGGAACAGGAGCCCCTCCCTCCCAGACTTAACTGTAAATCTGAAAATGTGACACTTAACAAGCAAGGTGTGGAAAGGAAATAACGATTTACTACAAACAGGGAACCAACCAGAACTGTCGTGGTTTCAAGGGGGCTGAACTTTCGGGAACAGGAGGGCCGTGGAGGTGATTTTGGTCAGAAGCTTTTACAAGCAGCTTTTGCTGTTCCATAAAAACCCAAGGATGGCCAGTTCCAGGGTGGGCTTCCTACCACTTCCAGCCAGTGTCATTCACTCCTGTGATAACACATTGAAGAACTCAGGAAGAGAATTCTGTGGCACAGAAGAAATTCCAGCTGGGGAGGAGAGCAGAGGAGAACGTGAGATAGGAATGGAGACTTCAAGGCCGGTGTGGCAGGAGAGGGGAGGAGGAGAGGCCCAGAAAGGCCTCTCTCTCGCCCTCCAGCAGGGGAAGGACTGAAAGCTGAGCCCCCCCTGATGCCTGTGGAAGATTTTTGGGGTGAGGAGACCCCTCCCTGCAGCTCATGGAGGAGCCTGCACTGGGGCAGGGGGATGCACAAGGAAGCTGAGACTCCATGGGAGGCCTGAGATGAAACAGAGTCCTGCTGGAGACCTGTGGCCTGTGGAGAGAGAAACCTGTGCTGGGGTGAGTTGTCCTGGGTAGGACTCGTGGCCCTGTGGGGGAATCCACGCTGGTGAAACTTATTTATGCCCTGAGGGACAGCAGATGATGGAAGAACTGCTGCCCGAGGGATGGGCTGTGATGGTTCGGACCTGGCTCCTTCCCAGGGCCCGAATTCACAGTGACAACCCCTTCCCCCTCCTTTCCTCCCTCGGGGCAAAGGAAAAAAAAAACCTATAAAAAACCCCTGAAATCAATTTAATTATATAAAGATAAATATGTTTATGTATATTATGGTTATACACAATTAAGATGCTGCGTACACAGCACAGGGAATCCAAACATCCCCTGGAGGCAAAGGGGAAAAAAGGGACAAAAAGGGACAAAACCAGAACAGATACGCACAATCAAAGCCAAGAACTGACAAAATAAAGAACCAGCAAAACAAAATCTCACCACGTCTGCTGTGGTTTTGCCCAGCCAGCCAGCCCCTGGGGCTGAGAATGGTTTTGTCCAGGTGAATTTCCGGACAAGAACCCAATTAAAACTCTCAGTAACGCCTTTGCTAATTACATCTTTAAGAAAACAGAAGAGAAAGGTTGGTGGGCAGTTGAAATTAGGGGCAGCAGCCATGTAGAAGAGGTGACAGTGGGCCCTGAGTGGGCCAAGACCCCCTCCTCCCCCGGCTTGGGCCGGGGGGCAGATGCGGCACTGAAGTCTCCCTTCTCTCTTGTAAGAGAGTGAAGAAAAGAAAAAGTTTAAAAGGCTGACTGCTTGGACAGAAACCGCAGCAGAAGAAATTCCAGCAAAGAGATAACGGAACGTCCAAGGTTAAAGCTGGCAGCTGAAGCTGCAACAGGAGAGAGAAGTGCCAAGGGTGGGGGTTTGCTTCTTCCCCCCTTTCGCTCTCTCCCTTCAGCAGGGTAAAGACTGAAAAATAAATCCCTACTACCTGTGAAATTTTGTGGGGTGAGGAGACCCCCATGTTGCTCATGGAGGAGCCTACACTGAAGAAGCCGAGACTTTATGAGAGACCTGAGGTGAAGCAGAGTCCTGTTGAGATTTGTGACCCTGAGGAAAACCTATGCTGGAGTGAGACAGCCCTGGTAGGATGTTGGGATCCAAGTGAGGGATCCATGCTAAACCCATGTAGAAGAGGTCTATCAAGGACTGTTCTCCCATGGGAAGGGACCTCCACAAGAAACAGGGGTGGACTCAAAAGCCATTATCCCCTGTGACTCTGTGGTGAAGAAGAGCCATGGTAGGCAAGTGTCCCCTTGCAAAACCATGGAAGAAAAACCTTCAGGGCCTGGGCAATCCCCAGACTCTGGTCTTAGCCCAGGAGGGGGGATAGGCCCAGCCCTGGAGGCTGACACAGAGCAAGAGAGAAAGAGAAAGAGTTCCAGCTGTGACAAGAGTGCTACAGAGTTATTGAAGAGACCTGAAACTCTGAGAATAGAGAAAGAAACTACTTTTCCTCCTTGGACTGATATAAAGGGGGGAGAAGTATTTCTGTAAATACATAGTACATTTTATTTAAGTAGAATTCTTATAGATATAGTTCCTTAGTAGTTTTATTTTGCTAGTAATAAATGTTCATACTATTTTCCCCAAATCCAGTCTCTTTTGTCTGCATAAACCTTCTCTCAACTAATAGTAATTGTGTGGGGGGTGTGAAAGCAAATTAATCCAGAGCAAAACCACGACACAGAGTCCCAGTGGCCCCTTGATTCCCTGAGGTTTGGAAATGTCACAATGGCCCCTTGATTCCACCAGGTTCCACCCTGTCCCAAAATTGCTTGGGTTCCATGAGCCCTTGCAGTGTCACACTGGACCCTGTTTCTCCGGGGAAAGGGGGTCAGCACAAGACACACAGACACCAACTCTAAGGAACAAGGGTGTAATTTCTCCACCCAAAGCCTGGCCAGGGCCTAAGAGACAAACCAAGGGACTCAACATGCACCACCTATTGCCAAACAAGGCCAGACATCGACTGCCATGGCCTTGACTGGGATCTAAACACGGAAAGATAAATACATTCACATTTCGCACATTTCACAATCCTGCATATTTTATTAATGAACAAATACAAATATTTTCCAATAATGAGATGATACAAATATATCTTACACAGATACAGCCCTATCCCACTACAGATTTCACTGATACTTATGCACAGTTTTAGCTCCTGAGTGGATCTGTGGAGAAACAGAACGTTAAGTTGGAAGGTTCATCCAGAGGCCAACTTTGGCTCAGGGGACATTGCTCAGGCCTCAGTACTTCAGCTGCAGAGCCCTGTGGAACCAATAGGCTGTTGTGACACTGTGGGGCCTCGTGGAACCAAAGAAACCCTGTGATACTGTGGAACTTCATGGAGATAAAGGAACCCCGGGACACTGTGGAACCTCATGGAATCAAGGGGCCACTATGACATTGCAGGGCTTCTTGGAATCAAGGGGCCTTGTGACACTGTGGAACGTCATGGAACCAAAGGAACCCTGGGGAACTGTGGAACCTCATGGGGTCATCAGGACAACTGGGATGCTGTGGAACCTCATGGAATAAAAGGGTTTAATTGTGACACAGTGGGTGGGGACTCCTGGAACCAAAGGGACCCTGTACCTGTGACTGATGGACACTCGAGGACCATTATCCTGACTGAATCTGGACTCTAATGGGCACACACACAGGATCAGTTCCCCATGGATATTTCCCACATTCTGAACTATTTTGTCATTGTATAAGTTTGTGATTTTAGCTTCTCTAATAACCTTGGATGTTCGAGTGTATCCTCAGCAAACAGAAAACTGGGTGTATGTCCAGATGTAAGCAGAAGTGGGAAGGACTTTTGTCTCCCAACATGGCTGTGGAAGCTCTGGGAGGAGACTCCCAAATTCCCTGTATGGGAATAAAACAACTCCGGACACAGAGGAACCAACTGTCCTGGACAGTGCAGTGAACAAGAAATCTGCTGCAGGTAAAGCTGTAACACAATAAGGACCTCTAAAATGAAAATCATCAAATGTTGTACCATTTTTATATTTATAGGACAATGTTTCTAGGATTGCAGGGTGGTTATTTACCCCTGGATTAACCAGCTGTCCTAACAGGGCCTTGCAAATAACAATGACAAAAGAAAGCAAAGAGACCAAAGTCCCTTTTCCCAAGGGCCACTCCAATAGAACACACCCAGAGCAAATGCCACCTGAGCCTTGGAAGAGAAGCTCACCCCGAAAGCCAACGCAGGCTGTGACACTGAGAACAAACAGCAGGAACTGCTGGATTTGTTCTCTGTTTCCCAATCATTCCAATGAAAGCATTCAAATGATGGGACTTCCAACAGCAAACATATTGTCCAGTGGTCTCCCTCCAACTGGAGTGATGCTCCTTTTAGAAGGAAAAGAAGCCCAAACTCTCAGAGAGCCACAAATGCTCTTCCTGGTAGCTCCCGTGGGGTTAAGTGAGAGATCTGCCTGCTGTCTCCTATGGTGGTTTATATCAATCTCTTCTTAATGCTTATTTCTTTGGCTGGTTTTGATAGAATTGCTTTAATAGAATTGCTTTGATACACTGCACTGTACTACTTGATGCTATATTATACCCTACTAGTAGGTTTTTAGTCTCTTCACCCTGCGGTAAATCATTCTGATTAAGGTTTTTCATCTGTTTTCACTTGCCAGTTCATTTGTCATAATAAATAATTCATTTTATATAAATACCTCTGATCTGCCATCATTAAAACCTGCAAGACAAAGTGATTTAATCACACCTCTGTAATTCCTTAAATTTAAACCGTTGACACAGCCCGAGGCTGAGATTGGATCCAGCCACACTCAGGCTCCTCTCTGAGAAGGAATTCAGAAAGCCAGGGGATCCTTTCTGTACCTTGTGGACTCAACAGCAGTTGAGCTTCTTTAAAGGTTTTGTCTAAGCTTTCCACTCCCACCCAGGACACCCCCACACTCACACACCCTCCGACCCTGCAGTCCAGCCGCTCCAGTCGCTCCGTTGCCAGCACTGTTGACATGGGGGCTGTTTGATGTCCTGCTCCTCCTGCAGTTGCTGTCTCCACAAAAACCCAAGGATGGGCCAGCTCCAGGGTGGGCTTCCTATCACTTCCAGCCAGTGTCATTCACTCCTGTGATAACACATTGAAGAACTCAGGAAGAGAATTCTGTGGCACAGAAGAAATTCCAGCTGGGGAGGAGAGCAGAGGAGAACATGAGGTAGGAATGGAGACTTCAAGGCCGGTGTGGCCGGAGAGGGGAGGAGGAGAGGCCCAGAAAGGCCTCTCTCTCACCCTCCAGCAGGGGAAGGACTGAAAGCCGAGCCCCCCCTGATGCCTGTGGAAGATTTTTGGGGTGAGGAGACCCCTCCCTGCAGCTCATGGAGGAGCCTGCACTGGGGCAGGGGGATGCACAAGGAAGCTGAGACTCCATGGGAGGCCTGAGATGAAACAGAGTCCTGCTGGAGACCTGTGGCCTGTGGAGAGAGAAACCTGTGCTGGGGTGAGTTGTCCTGGGTAGGACTCGTGGCCCTGTGGGGGAATCCACGCTGGTGAAACTTATTTATGCCCTGAGGGACAGCAGATGATGGAAGAACTGCTGCCCGAGGGATGGGCTGTGATGGTTCGGACCTGGCTCCTTCCCAGGGCCCGAACTCACAGTGACAACCCCTTCCCCCTCCTTTCCTCTCTCGGGGCAAAGGAAAAAAAAACCCTATAAAAAAACCCCCCTGAAATCAATTTAATTATATAAAGATAAATATGTTTATGTATATTATGGTTATACACAATTAAGATGCTGCGTACACAGCACAGGGAATCCAAACATCCCCTGGAGGCAAAGGGGAAAAAAGGGACAAAAAGGGACAAAACCAGAACAGATACGCACAATCAAAGCCAAGAACCGACAAAATAAAGAACCAGCAAAACAAAATCTCACCACGTCTGCTGTGGTTTTGCCCAGCCAGCCAGCCCCTGGGGCTGAGAATGGTTTTGTCCAGGTGAATTTCCGGACAAGAACCCAATTAAAACTCTCAGTAACGCCTTTGCTAATTACATCTTTAAGAAAACAGAAGAGAAAGGTTGGTGGGCAGTTGAAATTAGGGGCAGCAGCCATGTAGAAGAGGTGACAGTGGGCCCTGAGTGGGCCAAGGCCCCCTCCTCCCCCGGCTTGGGCCGGGGGGCAGATGCGGCACTGAAGTCTCCCTTCTCTCTTGTAAGAGAGTGAAGAAAAGAAAAAGTTTAAAAGGCTGACTGCTTGGACAGAAACCGCAGCAGAAGAAATTCCAGCAAAGAGATAACAGAACGTCCAAGGTTAAAGCTGGCAGCTGAAGCTGCAACAGGAGAGAGAAGTGCCAAGGGTGGGGGTTTGCTTCTTCCCCCCTTTCGCTCTCTCCCTTCAGCAGGGTAAAGACTGAAAAGTAAATCCCTACTACCTGTGAAATTTTGTGGGGTGAGGAGACCCCCATGTTGCTCATGGAGGAGCCTACACTGGAGTAAGTTGATGCGTGAAGAAGCCGAGACTTTATGAGAGACCTGAGGTGAAGCAGAGTCCTGTTGAGATTTGTGACCCTGAGGAAAACCTATGCTGGAGTGAGACAGCCCTGGTAGGATGTTGGGATCCAAGTGAGGGATCCATGCTAAACCCATGTAGAAGAGGTCTGTCAAGGACTGTTCTTCCATGGGGAGGGACCTCCACAAGAAACAGGGGTGGACTCAAAAGCCATTATCCCCTGTGACTCTGTGGTGAAGAAGAGCCATGGTAGGCAAGTGTCCCCTTGCAAAACCATGGAAGAAAAACCTTCAGGGCCTGGGCAATCCCCAGACTCTGGTCTTAGCCCAGGAGGGGGGTAGGCCCAGCCCTGGAGGCTGACACAGAGCAAGAGAGAAAGAGAAAGAGTTCCAGCTGTGACAAGAGTGCTACAGAGTTATTGAAGAGACCTGAAACTCTGAGAATAGAGAAAGAAACTACTTTTCTTCCTTGGACTGATATAAAGGGGGGAGAAGTATTTCTGTAAATACATAGTACTTTTTATTTAAGTAGAATTCTTATAGATATAGTTCCTTAGTAGTTTTATTTTGCTAGTAATGAATGTTCATACTATTTTCCCCAAATCCAGTCTCTTTTGTCTGCATAAACCTTCTCTCAACTAATAGTAACTGTGTGGGGGTGTGAAAGCAAATTAATCCAGAGCAAAACCACGACACAGAGTCCCAGTGGCCCCTTGATTCCCTGAGGTTTGGAAATGTCACAATGGCCCCTTGATTCCACCAGGTTCCACCCTGTCCCGAAATTGCTTGGGTTCCATGAGCCCTTGCAGTGCCCCACTGGACCCTGTTTCTCCGGGGAAAGGGGGTCAGCACAAGACACACAGACACCAACTCTAAGGAACAAGGGTGTAATTTCTCCACCCAAAGCCTGGCCAGGGCCTAAGGGGCAAACCAAGGGACTCAATGTGCACCACCTGCTGCCAAACAAGGCCAGACATCGACTGCCATGGCCTTGACCGGGATCTAAACACGGAAAGATAAATACATTCACATTTCGCACATTTCACTGCATATTTTATTAATGGACAAATACAAATATTTTCCAATAATGAGATGATACAAATATATCTTACACAGATACAGCCCTATCCCACTACAGATTTCACTGATACTTATGCACAGTTTTAGCTCCTGAGTGGATCTGTGGAGAAACAGAACGTTAAGTTGGAAGGTTTATCCAGAGGCCAACTTTGGCTCAGGGGACATTGCTCAGGCCTCAGTACTTCAGCTGCAGAGCCCTGTGGAACCAATAGGCCATTGTGACACTGTGGGGCCTCGTGGAACCAAAGAAACCCTGTGATACTGTGGAACTTCATGGAGATAAAGGAACCCCGGGACACTGTGGAACCTCATGGAATCAAGGGGCCACTATGACATTGCAGGGCTTCTTGGAATCAAGGGGCCGTTGTGACACTGTGGAACGTCATGGAACCAAAGGAACCCTGGGGAACTGTGGAACCTCATGGGGTCATCAGGACAACTGGAATGCTGTGGAACCTCATGGAATAAAAGGGTTTAATTGTGACACAGTGGGGACTCCTGGAACCAAAGGGACCCTGTACCTGTGACTGATGGACACTCGAGGACCATTATCCTGACTGAATCTGGACTCTAATGGGCACACACACAGGATCAGTTCCTCATGGATATTTCCCACATTCTGAACTACACTTGTCATTGTATGAGTTTGTTATTTTAGCTTCTCTAAAAACCTTGGATGTTCGAGTGTATCCTCAGCAAACAGAAAACTGGGTGTATGTCCAGATGTAAGCAGAAGTGGGAAGGACTTTTGTCTCCCAACATGGCTGTGGAAGCTCTGGGAGGAGACTCCCAAATTCCCTGTATGGGAATAAAACAGCTCTGGACACAGAGGAACCAACTGTCTTGCACAGTGCAGTGAACAAGAAATCTGCTGCAGGTAAAGCTGCAACACAATAAGGACCTCTAAAATGAAAATCATTAAATGGTGTACCATTTTTATATTTATAGGACAATGTTTCTAGGATTGCAGGGTGGTTATTTACCCCTGGATTAACCAACTGTCCTAACAGGGCCTTGCAAATAACAATGACAAAAGAAAGCAAAGAGACCAAAGTCCCTTTTCCCAAGGGCCACTCCAATAGAACACACCCAGAGCAAATGCCACCTGAGCCTTGGAAGAGAAGCTCACCCCGAAAGCCAACGCAGGCTGTGACACTGAGAACAAACAGCAGGAACTGCTGGATTTGTTCTCCGTTTCCCACTCATTCCAATGAAAGCATTCAAATGATGGGACTTCCAACAGCAAACATATTGTCCAGTGGTCTCCCTCCAACTGGAGTGATGCTCCTTTTAGAGGGAAAAGAAGCCCAAACTCTCACAGAGCCACAACTGCTCTTCCTGTGGGGTTAAGTGAGAGATCTGCCTGCTGTCTCCTTTGGTGGTTTATATCAATCTCTTCTTAATGCTTATTTCTTTGGCTGGTTTTGATAGAATTGCTTTATTAGAATTGCTTTGATACACTGTACTACTTTATGCTATATTATACCCTACTAGTAGGTTTTTAGTCTCTTCACCCTGCGGTAAATCATTCTGATTAAGGTTTTTCATCTGTTTTCAGTTGTCCGTTCATTTGTCATAATAAATAATTCATTTTATATAAGTAACTCTGATCTGCCATCATTAAAACCTGCAAGACAAAGTGATTTAATCACACCTCTGGAATTCCTTAATTTAAACCGTTGACACAGCCCGAGGCTTAGATTGGATCCAGCCACACTCAGGCTCCTCTCTGAGAAGGAATTCAGAAAGCCAGGGGATCCTTTCTGTACCTTGTGGACTCAACAGCAGTTGAGCTTCTTTAAAGGTTTTGTCTAAGCCTTCCACTCCCACCCAGGACACCCCCACACTCACACACCCTCCGACCCTGCAGTCCAGCCGCTCCAGTCGCTCCGTTGCCAGCACTGTTGACATGGGGGCTGTTTGATGCCCTGCTCCTCCTGCAGTTGCTGCACTCCCACCCCCACGCTCACCAGCTCTTGCAGAGACAAATTGGCTCACACAGGAGTTAGAAATTCAGTTTAATGAGAAGACAGAACAGACCGCACTGGTTGGGGTCCTCCCCTCAACTTCCCTCAAGCCCTGTGCTATCCAAAACTGCTCTTCTCCTGCCTCCCAGAATGTGTCCTACACTCCAAGGCAGCAATCCCCCTAGTTCAAATGGTGATCTGCTCTCAGCGCCTTAGGGCTTTCAAACCTGGACAACAGGGCTGATGGCTCTGCCAGGGCAGCCCTGGAAGGAGCTGGGACATGGTGTCCCTTTCTCAGGAGCCCGTAATTTGGGTTGTCCCTTGCCACTGTTCCTCTGTGCTCTCTCTGTTTGGAGATGGATTCCTGGTGAGCTGATGGCTCTGCAGGGATGGAGCAGCCAGGGCAGAGCATTAACTGCCCTGTCACTCCTCCTACCACTGTTAGTGTCCTGTCTGGGTGTGCAGATGAGCTTCTTATCACTTAACCTGACTCAAGTTGACAAGAGCATAAATCTTCCGAGGCCTCCACGTTTGGAGGTTACAAATATATGCCCTGGTATTGTTTAACATGTGGGAGTAGATCCTTGGAATTTATGTCCAGAAATGCATCATGATTAGGGGAAGAGCTTTGCTCTTGTCTTGGCAATGGATTTGTTCAGTGCCAATATCACAGCCTTATTCCTAAAGCTGTAGATGAATGAATTTAAGAATGGGTACAGCACTGTGTTCAGCAAAGCTACAATTCTGTTGGTCTTCAAGGAAGCATCTGTTGAAGGACACGTGTAGAGAGCAATGCAGCTCCCATATGCAATGGATAAGGTGATGAGATGGGAAGAACAGGTAGTAAAAGCTTTTTTCTTCCTCCCAGAGGCTGCTGGAGGCTGCAGAATACAGAAAAGGATGCAGGTGTAAAATGCCAGGTTTAAAGCCAAGGAGCCCAGCACTGCACATGATATGAAAGCAGTGTCTATTTTCCAAAGCAGGCTGGTGTCAGAGCAGGACAACTGGAATAAGGGGGAGTTGTCACAAAGGAAATGGGGGATCCTGCTGGAGCCACAGAAGGACAGCTGAGAGAGGAAGAGTGGGTGGTAGCTCTGGAGGGTGAAGCCGATGACCCAGGCAGCAACAACCAGGCCGAGGCAGAGCTGAGGCTGCATGGTGGCAGCGTAGTGCAGGGGTTGGCAGATGGCAACACAGCGGTCAAAGGACATGACAATGAGCAGGACACACTCTGTGCCACCCAGGGCAAAATAGAAATAGGATTGGGCAAAGCAGCTGCTCAGGGAGATGGTTTTCTGATCAGAACTCAGGATGGCAACCAGTTTGATGCTTGTGGAGGATGTAAAGCTGATTTCCAGGAAGGCCAGGTTGCTAATGAAAAAGTACATGGGGGTTTGCAGGTGGTGATCCCCATGCACGAGGAAAATGATGGTTGCATTCCCTGTCACTGTTGTCAGGTGCATGAGCAGAAGGATCACAGAGAGAAACAGCTGCAGCCTTTGATCAAGCTCTGGGAAACCCTCTAGGATGAACTCAGTAACTGCTGTTTCATTTGTTGCTCCCATGCTGAATTTCAGTTCCTCCTGCTGAGACAGGAACGTGGCAAAACCCAGGGTGATAATTTCACAGTCTGGACTAAATGTTCTATCCTTCCCTCTCTGCTCCTTTCTTTTCCTGCAGTCTTCCTGTATAGCACAGAGATTGTCCTTCAAGCAATTCTCACCCCCTGATTTTTCTGTTTCACATTTCACTTGGAGTCCTCAGGGATTTTTTTTGTCTTGTTTCTACTTTTTCTTTCACGAGAGCAGAGGATTCTAAAGAGGCTGTTGGCCATTTCACCCCATTCCTGGGAAATTCCAAGCTCACTCAGACCTATTGCAAACATCTGTCACACCTATGTGCCAAAAACCTCTCTTCTACTGCGTAAATGCCAACCCATGAAATCACATCCACTCTGTATGTTTAAAGCTCTTGTTTCTACTTTTCAGTGTTTGCCTTTTGCACTGGGAATCCCCAAGAATCTGGTGGTTTCAAGATAATCAGTATCAAGTATTTTGCAATCCCCTACTTTCTGCCACAGCTTCTTGCTCTCTGGTTCTTCAGGAAAAGAGAGGGGAGGGCAGAATAGCGACCAAGTATGACTTGCCTTTTTAGTCCTCTAAACAATGAGCAGCATTTGTTATGGATCCACACAGTGTGTCACAGAGTCCCATCTCACACCCATCTGCACAAAAAGGCACTTGTTTCCATACAGTTGCTCGTTGCTTTTGCTCTCAAAAGTTCCCAACAAAAGGCAGAACAAGAGAACAGTGCCAGGAAGAGATCTGTAAGCTTTCTTTTGCCTGCCATTTTTAGACTGGGAGAACCCAGCCTGCAGAGCCTTCTCTTGTCTCCACTGACTATAGAGGGAGCCTGGAGAAAACAAGTTCCCAGGAGTGTCTGCAGGGGAGTAGATGAAACTCACTGTTCAAGCCTCAAATCTCTGATTAATTAAAAGCTGTTATGCTTTTAAATCAAAATTCACAGTTCACAGAAAGAAGCAGGAGAAAAAAATGTGCAATAAAGACAGGCCATGTTCCTTTTATCTTTCGATTTTGTTTTTAGGCAGAAAGGAGCAGAGCCCCTGACTCCAAAAATAGGGTGATTGGAAATGCTGGGGGGGAGAAGAAGTTCTGAGATCAACTGGCATCCAGCCTTCCACCCATCCCCAGCACGTCAAGCAGACCATGGCACAAAGTACCATGTCCACTCTTTCCTTAAACACCTCCCATCCCCATCCCATTTCCACCTTCTCCACCCCATCCCATCCCATTCCCAGCTCATCCCCACCTTCTCTGCCTATTCCCACCCCATTCCCAGCAGGAATTCCCAATCCCTCCCTTACTCCAGTGAGTCTTGCTTGGCTGGCTGAGCCCCTCATGCTGCACGCAACAATCATAGTAATCCCATCCCCACTCCATTTCCACCTTCTCCACCCCATTCCCAGTTCATCCCTCCCCATTCCCACCCCATTCCCAGCTCATCCCACCCCATTCCCAGCGGGAATTCTCCCTCCCAGCCTTACCTCAGTGTGTCTTGATGGGCTGGCCGAGCCCCTCATGCCTCACGCAACAATCATAGTAATTCCCCTGGAACGGGATGAAGGACAGGTAGGAGAACTTGCAGAAGGTGTTGTCGGGCCCGGAATAAAACACCATCTCCAGCACCCCCTCGGACACTGGGAGCCCCTTCCGGAGCCAGGACATGGAGGAGATCGGAGGCCAGAACTTGCTGATGTAGCAGATGAGCACGTTGGGCTCGTCCAGCTCCAGTGCATGCTTCGGGAACACAGCCTTCTCCGGGGGCACTGGGACACAGGGAATGGGGGTGGGAATGGGGTAAAGAAGGGGGTTGGGATGGAGAAGGGGGTTAGGATGGAGTGAGAAGGGAGTGGGATGGAGTGGAAAGGGGTTGGGATGGAGTGGGATGGGGTGGGATGGGAATAGGGTGGGATGGAGTTTGGGATGGAAAAAAGGATTGGGATGGGGTAGGAATGGGTGGGAAATGGGTGGGATGGGGTGGGAATTGGATAAGGATGGAGTTTGGGATGGAAAGAGGTGTTGCAGGGGGGAGGAGCCGGGATTGGGATCATCTGCCTGGGATCTGCCTTGGAATTGGGTTGGATCCCCCTGGAATTTGGCTGGAACCCCCTGGAATTCTCCCGGGATCCCCTGGATAGGACTCGGGGGGGAGGGGGAAGCCCAAAAACCGGAATATCCCTGGAATTCCACCTGGTTCCTCCCTAAAAGTCCTACCAGAAAGTTCCCGAATTCCCTTTCCCTTTTTCCCTTTCCCTTCCCTAATCCTGCCATTACCACTGGGGATTTGGGAATTGTTGGAAGCCTTCATGGAGTTCTCCAGGTTCTACTTGTCTATCTTGATATTCTGCAGCGCCCCCTGTGCCTTGAAACTGGCGAATTCCTGGAATTCTAGGAGCCTCCAGACCGTCTGCTCCCACTCCAGGTGGAAAATCTCGTCGCTCGAAGTCGAACATGAACTCGCCGCCCTCTTCCACCGTCGAATCCAGGGCTTTTTGGTAGTATTCTGTCTGGATAATCTGGTGGGACATTGGGAAGAGGCGGTTCGGGGGTTGAGACTGAAATCCCGGGAAAGAGGGGGTTTCAGGGTGAAATTGTGGGAAAAGGGGGGGGGGGGGGGTTTAGCCTGAAATCCAGGGAAAAGGTGGGGTTTCAGCTCAAAATCCCGGGAAAACGAGGGGGTTTCAGCCCAAAATTCCAGGGAAATGAGGGGGTTCATCCCAAAAACCTGGGAACATGAGGGATTTTCAGCCCAAAATCCCAGGAAAAGGAGGAGAAATCACCTGGAAACCTTGGGAAATGGGGGGGGGTTCAGCCCGAAATCCCGGGAAAAGGGGGGGTTTCAGCCTGAAATCCTGGGAAAATGGGGGGGAGTTCAGCTCGAAATCCCAGGAAAATGGGGGGGTTCAGCCCAAAATCCCCAGGAAAGAGGTGCTTGGGTAGCCACGGTGCCCCAAAAACCCCAGGACTGGGCAGCTCCGCGATCAAAAAATCATGGAAAAGGGGGTTTTGGGTACTCCCAGATCCCGAAAATCCTGGGAACAGGGGGGTTGGGACACTCCCAGACCCCCAAAATTGTGGGAAAATAGAGGTTTGGGAACTCCCAGACACTAAAAAAAAAAAAAAAAATCCTGGGAATAGGGGGGTTGGGGTACTCCCAGACCCCAAAAATTGTGGGAAAAGAGCGGTTTGGGCACTCCCAGTCACTAAAAATCCTGTGAAAAAAAGGTGGTTTGGGCACATCCAGACCCCCAAAATCCCAGGAACAGGGGGCTTTGGGCACTCTCAGACTCTAAAAGTCCCAGAAAAAGGGAAGTTTAGGTAGTCCCAGAACCCCAAAACTGCCCGAACAGGGGGTTGGGACACTCCCAGACCCCCAAAATCCCAGGAACAGGGGGGTTGGGGCAATGCCAGCCTCCCAAAAATCCCGGAAAAGGGGGGCTTGGTCACTTCCAGCCCCCAAAAACCCCGGAAAAGGGAAGTTTAGGTAGTCCCAGAGCCCCAAAACTGTCCGAACAGGGGGGTTATAACACTCCCAGACCCCCAAAATCCCTGGGACGGGGGTTGGGGCAATGCCAGCCTCCCAAAAACCCCGGAAAAGGGGGGTTTGGTCACTCCCAACCCCAAAAAATCCTGGAAAAGGGAAGTTTAGGTAGTCCCAGAACCCCAAACTGTAGAAACCAGGGGGTTTGGTCACTCCAAGACACCCAAAATCCCGGGTAAAACGAAGATTTCTCACCCTCCGCCCCCCCAAACACCGCATTCCCACCTACCCAGATCACACCAACCCCAACCCCAGCAATCCGGGACCCCCCAAGCTGCAGACAGGGTCAGCCCCAGCAGCAGCAGAGGCAGCAGGGGGATACTCCGAGCTCCATCCATGGCCCCTCCGGACACGGGGATACCGGGAAGAGTCGATGTGGCTCCCAGGAAAGCGGCGGCGAACTGGGGGAGCTGGGCCGGGGGGCGCAGCACCCCGAAAACTCCCCAGCCAATGGGAGCGAGCGCAGCTGAGGCGTCATCAGTTGCCGGGCAGACCCGGTTCAAACTGAGCCCTCACCGAACTCAGCCAATCAGAGAACGTCCTCCACTCGGTTTTGGGTACATGTCGGAGCTCCGAAACAGCCTGATCGCCGTTTTTGGGTTCAGCAGAGCTGCGGGATCCCTGGATGCCCATCTGTGGGTTTCCCTGAGCTCCCACCTGCCCCGCATCCCACGGACCCCCCAAAATCCCCCACCCCCGGGGATTGCAGTGCCCCCAACGGCCTCAGCCAATCAGAAAGCGCGGACGCGACCCTTCTGACTAATCAGAACGCAAAATGCTGATGACTCATCAGTTGCCGGGAAGACACGACGCAAAACGAGCCCGAACTTAGCGCTCAGCCAATCAGAACGCGTCCAAAACAGCCCAAAAACGGCCCCGCCCGGCTGTTTTTGGAGTGTCAGCCCCTGCCCGGCTCTGGGGATGGAGCGTGTGTGGGGAACTGGGGCCGTACTGGTGGTGCTGGTGGTGCTGGTGGTGCTGGGAGCCCCCCCCGGCTGCGGGCGAGGAGCTGTCGGGTGAGCGGGGGGGGGCGGGAAGGGGAAAAGAGGAGAGAAAAGAGGGAGTGGGAAGCCATAAAGTGAGTGCGAGGGGGTTGGAATCCCCGGAATTAGTGGGAGGGGGATGGGAGCCCCAAAGTGAACGCGGGAGGGTCTGAGGATTGGGGGGACGGTGGGAAAGAGGTGGAAGAGCGGGGAAAAGGGGGGTGGGAGAACAGGAAGAGGGGTGCCATGGGCGTCCCTCGGTGTCCCCCATCACTGGAGCCCTGCAGCGGTTCCCTGGGGCTCTGGGGGTGGGGTCGGATCCGCACATGGGGATCCCCAACCCCCCTGTCCATCCCTGGGGGGCTGATGGGGGGGGTTCCTCCCCAGCCATGTCCTGCACACACAGGGGTGCATCAGGAGATGGTAAAGTTCGAGTGTCACTTCATCAATGGCACCGAGCGGGTGAGGTTCGTGCAGAGGTACATCTACAACCGGCAGCAGTACATCCACTTTGACAGCGATGTGGGGGTCTATGTGGGGAACACCCCGTTTGGGGAGATCCAGGCCAGGTACTGGAACAGCGACCAGGAAGGGCTGGAGCACCAACGGTCTGCGGTGGACATCTACTGCCGGCACAACTACAAGGTGTTCACGCCGTTCAGTGTGGAGAGGAGAGGTGAGCGCGAGGCAGAGCAGGTCCCCTCGGGAATTCCCCTGCCCCGGGAACGACCCTGGAGCCCCTCAAACCCTCCCTGGGAATCACCCTAGACTCCTCAGACCTCCCTGTTCCCATCCCCGTGGCCTTGGGCCCCACCCCAGTGCCCCCCAGTCCATCTCAGTCTCTTCCTATACCCCCCAAGTCCATCCCATCTCTCCCAGTGCCCCTCATTCCATTGTGATCCATCCCAGTCTCTCCCAGTGCCCCCAGTCCATCCCAGTCTCTTCCTATGCCCCCCGAATCCATCTCAGTCTCTCCCAGTGCCCCTCAATCCATTCCGATCGTTCCCAGTTATTCCCAGTGTCCCCCAGTCCATCCCAGTCTCTCCCAGTGCCCCCCCGCGTCTCCGCCCCGCTGGGGCCACCGCTCTCCCTCCCCTCAGCCAATCAGAGCGCATCTCTTTGATGACTCATCAGTTGCCGGGCAGATCCGCAGCGCAGAGTTACCTCTCCAGGATTCAGCCTCCCAGTCCCGCTCGGTCCCTTCCTAGTCCATCCCAGTCCCTCCCAGTCCTTCCCAGTCATTCCCAGTCCCTCCCAGTCCTTCAGAGATTCTCTGATTTCACTCCCAGACCCTCTCAGTCCATTCTCAGTGGTTCTCAGTTCACTCCCACATCTCCCAACTCTCTCCGCAGTAACCCCTCAGCCCATCCCCTTCTACACCAGTCCATTCCCAGTCCCCCAGTACCATCCCAGTCCCTCCCAGTGCCACCCAAACCCCTTCCAATGTCCTACAAGCCCTCTCCCCTCTCTCCCAGTGCCCCCCCAGCTCATCCCAGTGTCTCCCCCGTCTCTCCCAGTGCCCCCCAGCGTGTCCATCTCGCTGGTGCCGTCGAGCTCCCAGTCCGGGCCCGGCCGCCTGCTCTGCTCCGTGATGGATTTCTACCCTGCCCGGTGCAGGTGAGGTGGTTCCAGGATGGGCAGGAGCTGCCGGAGCACGTGGTGGCC